AAACCAGGTCTAAAACCAGGTCTAAACCAGGTCTAAACCAGGTCTAAACCAGGTCTAAACCAGGTCTAAACTCAGGTCTAAACCAGGTCTAAACCAGGACTAAACCAGGTGTAAACCAGGTCTAAACTCAGGTCTAAACCAGGTCTAAACCAGGTCTAAACCAGGTCTAAACTCAGAACTAAAAAAAGGTCTAAACCAGGACTACAATCAGGACTAAAATCAGATTTAAACCAGGTCTAAAATCAGGTCTAAACCAAGTCTAAACCAGGACTAAACTCAGAAGTAAAACCACCCAGTTCACCCAATTTGAAAACCTCTGGTCTAGAGTATTTTGAGCAATATAGTACCTTTAAAAAAAAAAAGTTCCTGATTGTGGCTTTAATTCACGCATTAGACTTTTTTTATTTCTTGTATCATGTTCTAGTCATTTTACTCTTCATGACATTTTGTATTTTGTATTTTGCTTTTTAATTGCGATAATTTCGATTCGATTGCGATTAATCTGGCAGCTCTACTTCCCTCCTCACGTGTCTCCTAGCTCCTTGTTCGCCTCCTAGCTCCTCTGTCCTTGCTCTTCCAGGTCCAGCAGCAGCGACGATGAAGAAGAAGAGGAAGAAGAAGAGAAGGAGGAGGTTTTGTGCTGTTCAAGAGGGTTAGAGTTAGAGTCAGTAACGATTTTCCCAGCGGGTGAAAAGGTGAGGCTCAGATCCAGATTTCACAGTTCAAGTTTGAAGCTGCGGTGGTTTTTAAAGAACAACAAAGAAAAGAAGAGTTAAAAAAAAATACTACTGTGTGATTTAATAGAATTGGGGATTTGAATAATAAATACGACAAAAAAAAAACTGTTAATAATAAATATTTAGCTGCAGTAAAACTGTGATCCTTTAGTTTTTTACTGCACTTCAATAATTACATTTAATGTTGTAATAGTAGTAGTAGTAGTAGTAGTAGTAGTAGTAGTAGTAGTAGTAGTAGTAGTAGTAGTAGTAGTAGTAGTAGTAGTAGTAGTAGTAGTAGTAGTAGTAGTAGTAGTAGTAGTAGTAGTAGTAGTAGTAG